TCAAAGCACACCCTTATGGTTTTATTAATTGATTAAGGTGTATAATTAAAAGAGGTTTAATAAATCCATAAAAGTTTAGGTTTACAATTTAATTGAATTAAAAGTATAATTGTTAAATTTGATTACCTAGTATTTTAAAAAGTGTAAAATACACCCTATACTATATATAACATTAAAAGTCTAACATTATATATATATATATATATATATATATATATATATATATATATATATATATATATATATATATATATATGAGTAAAAGTCAGTCTTACCGTTAGTAGGCCTCATTCACGAAGCTGGCCTATAAGGGGTGTTTAAGGAAATTGCCTATAAAATGGCGATTGAATGAGTATCCACTCTTACCCACCGCACTCTTGACTAGTGAAGGGTCGTTAGCCGAACGGGTAGGATAGGACAAAACCTTCCATTATAAGTATAATGAAGTACAAAAGTAACTAAATGTTTTACAAATTCCCAATCTTAGTTACATAGGCAAAAGTGAATTGATGCAATTCCATGAAATTACACTTTGTACCCTTGCAAAGACGTTAGTGGAGCGTGTGTGGTTTACCGGCACACTAAATGGTTCTAAGCAAAGGTAGCAAAGGGTGACTCAATGTTTGTGATAGTTCGTTGGAGCGTGTGTGGTTTACCGGCACATCGAATAGGTGACCGTAACATGTGAGGGCATCATGTAAGTTTGCATGGTTATTCACACCCGCTTTGTGATCCCCAACATCCCAGTCAAAAACAAGAGGGGCATATCGAGATTTAAATATGCCATTGAAATGTTCAATGAATCTCAAAGGATCTAGGAGTTTTCATAAATTTAAAACTTAAATTTCTTTTTCGTTTTTCATGGTGGAAATTAGTGAATCGTCATTCACTTACCTTCAAATATTCTGCAACTAGATTATGGCATCCCTTTTCTAGGTTGTAGCGTATTGTGTTGGGTCCTAGCCTTAGTATCTCATTTGGGTGATTTACTAAGGACTCAATCAATCAACTAACTTGAATTTGTTTTCTCTTATTTTGTAGATGTAAAAGTTCGACAACTATGGTCTTCCCAAATCCAGTGGAACAAGCTTTCCACATGAAGATGATATTCCAGGATTCGATCGAGGAACAAGAGATCATGCTTCACTTCCTCCACCTCCTCCCGTTATTCTCCCTAATCCACAAGATCGACGAATTGAAAGGTTCAATGTCACTAAAGCCCTGTTGGAAATGACACATGAAGATGGTAAACCCGTGTGTGCTCACGTTCTAGGAATGAAATCACACATTGATAGGTTGAGAATGTTGGGCATGTCATTCCCGGATAAGTTGGCTGTGAACTGGGTTATGCAGTCACTTCCCGAATCATATAATGAGTTTAAAAGAAAGTATTATATGATGGATCATGACGAAAGCCTCATTGACCTAACTTACATGCTCATTGCTGCTAAATCATATATGATTTGGCAAAGCAATGGAGCATATTTGTTGGGAGAATCAAACAACCATGCTTCCGAGGACGTTCTAAGAGAACCGAACTGCGTTTGCTGCCAAGAGAAAGGGTGTTGGATACAAGTCTGCCCTAAGAGCCTGAAGAGTCCAGAAGATGGGAGAGTCATAGAGTATGGCTGTAATTCAGGTAAAATCCACTATCTAACTCGATTAAGTTCCTATTCGTTGATTCTTAATACATAATGTGATAAGATTGCATTTGAATGTTTTGCAGGATCGATGAAAATAGAGGAAGCTTGATGAAATAGCAAGATGAATCTAATCACGAAGATATGGATTCTATGATTAGATTTTGAGCTTAGATAGAATTGTTAGGAATATTTATTACATAGTTTTTCAGTTGATTTTTCATTGTAAGGACAAATGTTTTCCGCTGCTTTTATAAATAAAATAAATTTTGTTTGACGTGTTTATTTATTTATTTCCTTGCAATGAAATTGTTATGAAAAATTGATGTTCGTTTATTTACAACAAATGGATGTGATTCTTAATTTTGTTGTTTGTGGAAATGTTGAGAATTTACCAAATAGGGAAAGTTTCTCATTGCCCAAGTTTCAATTGGATAGAGATTTGGAATCATACAACAAGAATTGTATGATGAATGAATAAACTTTCACATTTGGAAATTATACTAATTCGTTGACAAAGTGTCAAGTGAAGGACTAGGAGATCGAGTACACAAGGTTATGTGTTGATCAAGTCCACCTCAAGAGTAACAAAGATATTCGTCATGATTTACTAAAAGTTTAGCAAATATAAGATTAAGTGTAATTCTGAATTGATAGTAAAAGTTTAAATAAATAAGCAGAACGAATAAGAAGAATCATGTAGGCAGAAAGATAAAAGTTTCTCCATTCTAAGAAGAAAGGAGAGTACCTTTTACGCTTTATGATAAGTCTTAATGATTAAGAACCATATCTCAATTGATCCTCTAAGTAAGTACAATTGTATGTCTAAAAGGAGGAATCAAGAATTGAAGAAATGGTGAAATCAAGAAGTCAATCATACTTCACCCCAAAACAAGTCTTAGAGTTAAGATTGTGACATTGAGAAATAAGAAAGTTTATAACATTCATCAAATGAGGAAAGTTGTGATGTCTTGGATAAGACAAAGACCAACTAGGACCTATTTATGAAGTGTTTTGATAAAAACTACACTAACTCTTGAATATTTGATTGTCAAGAAATGATTTATTGACAAGAGAATCTTATATGTCAAGGAGTCAGTGGGAGTCTTAATGGTCTTGAAAGGTTTCAAGAACAAATCAAAATAGACCTTATTGATCATCACTAGCACACGACTTGAGGTTTATAACCTATCGTGTTGACGTTATTTTGTTTCTGTGTCATTCCATTTGAGTTAATTATGCATGTGAGCCCTGCGAGTTCTCATTTGAATGCATAAAAGGCAAGGACCTTGATCAATGAAAAGTACATTGATAGGAAAAGGTGCGCTACTTAACTACTTGGAAGACATGGTGGGCAGCTGTGTTACCATAAAGCAAGAAATCAAGATTGAGAATGTTCGGTCCATATGAGTTTGAATTTGTCACAAACCTTGGTTTTGACAAATTCATATGGATAGGAACACACACATACACCATTAAAATCTAAGTGTCATAAGATTCCCCCCTTCATGAAAATGACTGTGAGGAAATGCTTTCATTAAGAGAGATCTTAAGAAGATAGCAATTGTAAAATTGCATTATCAAATTTGATTATGGTTATGGTATCCCTCTCCATAACTCGAATTGTGAGATTTGGCAATTTGTCTTAATTGTTTAAGACACATATGAGCTATCTTGGATAAAGGTGTATGAGATTAAGAAGCCTTGATAAAGGATTATCAAAACATTAAGTATTTGAAACATGAACTTAAGAAATTCAATAGGTATTGTCTTTCTGGAAGTTAAGCTGTTTTCTGAATACATGTCAAAGCTAGTGGGAGCATAAGTGTTATGTTTATAATAATAATCATGATAGTGGGAGCATAAATGTTATGATTGTATGATTATTAAGGCAAGTATTGCAAGTTAGCAATATTAATTATAGAAAACAAGAGTCATACTTTGCAAAGTTGTAAGAGATGAATAATTGTTTTGCTATAATTAAGGGAGAGAATATTATGCTTCATTTCAAATCTAAAGGCTTAGGTTGTGGAATGTTAAATTTCGATTATGATTACGACATTCCTCTTCATAATTCGAATTGTGAGAACATAGTACATAAAATATTATGGCAGAAGATTGATAAAGTATTAAATCTTTATGTAAGACATTATCATATATATATATATATATATATATATATATATATATATATATATATATGAGACATGTGTCATGATGAATTACACGTGGTTAGTTAAATTTTCATAAATATACATTATATATGTATCAATTTTGAATTTAAGAGATAAGGTTTAACAAATTAACAATTTTATATTTCCTATCGTATGAGTATGAGTTTATATATATATATATATATATATATATATATATATATATATATATATATATATATATATATATATATATAGGGTTAGGTTCATGTGAGACGGCTTAATTTTGTGAGACCGTGAGACGCATTTTTTAATTTTTTTTAATTTTTTTTAATTTTTAAAATTTTTTTTTAGTTAATTCAAGTTCCGAAAATAATATTTAAAAAAATAAATTTTTTTATTTTTCCATTTATTTTGCATTTTAAAATTATTTTTAGAATATGTACAGTGTAATATTCTATTTAGAATATTTCACGTATTTTTCAAAAAAATAGGATTTTTTTATTTTATTTTTTATTTTTTTTAGTTAATTCATGTTCCGAAAATAATATTTAAAAAAAGAATTTTTAGATTTTTCCATTTATTTTGCATTTTAAAATTATTTTTTAGAATATGTCAGTGTAATATTCTATTTAGAATATTTCACGTATTTAAAAAAAAAAAACGGAATTTTTTTTATTTAATTTTTATTTTATTTTATTTTATTTTTTAATTTTTTTTAGTTAATTGAAGTTCCGAAAATAATATTTAAAAAAAGAATTTTTGGATTTTTCCATTTATTTTGCATTTTAAAATTATTTTTAGATTTGGTCTCACGGTCTCACAAAATTAGTATGGTCTCAAATGAACCTGAATATATATATATATATATATATATATATATATATATATATATATATATATATATATATATATATATATATATATATTGTGTAAGAAACTCGTGACAAAGGGAAATAGATTATAGTTATCAAGAAATAATTTGTAAAATTCTTAAGTATACATATGTATACAAGAGGAAAATAACCAATAATACATATAAAAGTACCTGGTACAATCTAATAGGTAAGTATCTAGTACAGAAAATTAAACACCAAAAAATTGATCAAAATCATATCCATTCTTGCTTCTATATGTCAGTTAAGGTACATCAATTCTACTATAAAAAAATGGATTCTTGCACTCTTTCTTCAACAAAAGACAACACTCAAACATGAACAATGATTAGTTTTTTTTTTCTGCCTGCTTCTTCATGCAAACACCACAATAATTTGTTGTTTCTTTTCTTCTTCTCCTTCGATTTCAGCCAAGAACAGACACCACTAGAGGAGTCGTTACCTGTGCAACCAAGAGGGCAACAACCCTTTTTCAAACCCCTTCCTCCCTTCACAATGATTTCACAGCAACACCCAAACACACTAAAAATTTTTATTTTTGTTCTTCATTCTTCTTTGATTACCTGTCAAGAACACACACATTAGAGTGGTCGATTACCTGTGAAATCAAGAGAATATCACCTTTTTCCCCTATTTACTTTTTTGTTAATCGAAACAAAGATGAATTTTTATTTATTTTTACCTTTCTTCCTTGTTTTTCTGCCTGTTTCTTCGTCCCCTGTCATGAACCACCCGCAGTGGTGGTGCTGCGGTGAACCATCGAGGCAGCAGCCCCACCTCTCGCACGTTCCTTTCCCTCTCAGCAGCCCAAATGGTCGTTGCTGACTATCTCCCCCCCGACCCTTCTTCTGACCTCCTCTCCTCGCACTCTCTCTTCTGCTCCCATCGACCAACGACCGCCGACGCCTCGCTTGCTTTTCCGTTGCTGCTCTCATCGCTTCAATTGGACCAATTTCCTCCTCCTCCCTTCGCACCTCACAGCTGGACGAGAAAGAGCGAAACCTCGCTGGTTCGTCCCTTCCTTCCCTTTGATCTCGTGTACCCCCGGAGAAACACCCTTCTTGCAATCGATCGACCAAAACATCGGATTCGTGTCTGCACTCTCTCTTCGTGTTTCTTTTCCTTTGCTCGATCAACTGATGAGGACGCAAACATAAAATCCCTAGAATTCTTTTAACTTTGATAAAATTACCAAATAACCCCCTTGCTAAACATGGGTTAATATTATAAAAGCCCTAAATTTTTAACGCGTAATTGGAAAAAGCCCTCATATATTTTTTATTATTGCTGTTGCCGCAACTTTCTCGCAGAATTATTACTCTTGCCCACTTAACGAGTTTCATGGTTAAGAGTGCTAACTTTTTTTTTTTTTGCAAAATTAGTCCTAAAAAGTTCAAATTTAGTCATTGATGTGTGAAAAAAAATTACACCACATAGTTTTTAACTTTATTTTTCGTTTTTTGTATACTTTATTTATTTTTGTTTTTTTTTTATAAATATATGTACATTTTTTATTTTCTTTTTATATATATATATACTTTATTTATTTTCATTTTTTAACTTTAGTTTTCAACAATTTTTTTTAACCTTTTTACCTTTTGTTTTCTACTTTTTAATGTATATATAGAGTATATTAGAGTTTTTTTTTTTTTTTTTTTTTTTTTTTTTTTTATATATTTTTTTTTTAGGTTTTTCTAGGTTTCTATTCATATTATATTTTATTTTTTCACCTTTTTTTTAATTTGTTTTTCTATTTTTTGTTATTTATGGTTTTTCTAATATTTTTTTCTAAGGTTTTTTCATATTACAATTTTTGTTTTCTATTTTTTTTCCTATTTTAGTTATTTATGGTTTTTCTAATGTTTTTATTTACTTTGATTCAAGTAAACGAACTTGAATTCAATATATATTACTATAACAAGTTTTTTTTTTTATGAAGATAGACTATTATTTTTTTTTTTGTTTTTTAAGTTTATTATCAATTTACTGATGCGGTTTCGCATTATCAATGTACATCCAATTAGCAAATAATAAACCATATATCTAGGTTTTAAGACCATATGATATTATCGTCTTGCGATCACTTTTGTCACATTCCATAAAGTGATTCCAGCAAGCGCGGGTTTATTCCAATGCTCAAAACTTGTTCATAAGCACTCATGAACGTTGTAGCAAACCTTGCTATGTCTAATACCATTTAGACAATCTACACACTAATTCATGACAATCTTCATTCATACCTACTTCCAGCATATGAACAATTGTGGACTATTTGAATAATTCGATTATTCTTAACAAACTCAATTGTTCTAGAAGTCAAAACATGTAAATTAAAACAATAGTTAAACAATTAACATAAGACAGTAACTTTACTAATAAATAATACTTCTTTATTTAATCATCAAATGTCAAATACATTTATCTATTATACGTTTCTAAAACTATCTAATCTAAACTAATATCATCCTTCAGCACAATGCTCCTAGCGTGCTGTAAATGCTTAACCCTAATCAGTCCCTTTGTAAGTGGATCTGCTGGGTTATCTTCCAATGATATCCTATTAACCATGAGGTGTCCTTCTTCTACTCGATTTCTAATAAAGTGATATTTTCTGTTTGATATGCCGAGATCTACCATGATCCCTTGGTTCCTTGGTCAAGGCAACCGCTCCTTCATTATCACAAAAAATTTCCATAGGCTCTTTTATCGCAGGCACAACTCCAAGGTCACCAATGAAGTTCTTCAACCATATCGCCTTCTTTGACGCTTCACTTTCTGCAATATACTTTGATTCGCACGTTGAATCAGCTACAGTTTTCTGCTTGGAACTTTTCCAAGTCACTGCTCCTCCATTTAGGATGAAGACCCAGCCCGACTGCGAACAGTAGTTGTCCCTGTCGGTCTGGAAACTGGCATCACTATACCCTCGCACCTTTAAGTCATCACTCTCTCCGAGGACTAGAAACCATTCCTTGGTTCTCCGAAGGTACTTAAGGATATTCTTAACTGCAATCCAATAAACTCTGCTAGGGTTCCCTTGATATCTACTAACCATGCTCAAAGCAAAGGCCACTTCAGGGCGAGTACAAGTCATAACGTACATGATTGAGCCAACTGTGGAAGCGTAAGGTACTCGGCTCATCTCGGCTATCTCGACTTCAGTATTCGGACTTTGAGTCTTACTCAACTTGGCATTACTTTGTATCGGTAGTTCTCCCTTCTTCGAGTTTTCCATACTAAAACATTTTAGTACTTTATCTAAGTAAGTATTCTAACTAAGTCCTATTTGTTGGATTAATGTCTAAGTCCATAACTATAATTGGTAAGACTTGACCCGACCCGGCATGGTCCATTTGGGTTGCATGGCATCATGCACTTGGATAGACTATAATGAGAGAATTAAGACACTTATGGTTATTAATATATTATAAGTTCTAGTATATTAATAATAAGAATAATAAGATTATTTAATTAGTATTGATCAAGAATTAATCAAGGTTTAATTAAGTGATCAAAAGAAGACTAATTAAATATATGGGTTGATTGTGTAAATCATCCATACTTATATAGTGGGCTAATGCTCCATGGATTATCTAGTTGGGCCAAAACCCATATGATGCTCCATGGATGCTCCATGGTGTATTTGAACCCATGGATCCAAGGAAATGGAAAGTCATGACAATTAGGGTTTACCCTAATTGTAACACTATATAAAGATATTATTCTTCAAAATCGGCACTAGATTATTCTAGAGAGGGCTAGCCGATTTCATGAAGTGTAGAATTCTCTCTAAGTTATTCCAAGTGTTTTGGTGTTGTGTGAACCATTTGAGGTGTCACACTTGGGGCACTAGGCACTCAAGCTTCATGAAGACATTCTACATCAAAGAGGTATGTATTCTATCTTGTTATATATTATTTTGTATGCTAGATTAGGATAATACCTTGGATGTTCATATTTGCATGTATAATAGAGAAAACATAGATCCAAGGTATTTAGGGTTGCATGTACACTTAGGAGTGTTAGAATGCTCATAACCCAACAGTGGTATCAGAGCCTAGGCTTGTTTTCTTGTTATACCTGCAATAGAAGCTGAAAAATCGAGTTTTGATGCTGTCAGCCCAGCTGACTCGCCGAGTCCATGAAGGGACTCGACGAGTCCAAGGCAAAATGCATCCAACTCGCCGAGTTGTGTTCATGCACTCGACGAGTTGGACCCCAGACAGCATATCTTCGAGGTTTTTGGCTAGAAATGGACTAGGAACATTACCCTAAGTTGTTTTGAACTTATAAACTTGTTTTTAATGTGGTAATGTTCATGCTAATCCATTTTCAAAGATAATTGTCAATAGATTCATGTTTTGTATTAGTTTAAAGGTTAGACTAATTACATGAAAAAGTTTGATTTGAATTATCTTGTTCTTATGAGTTGCTTAGATTAATAGAAAAGTTGAGTGAAATAGTTGTTTTCAATCCAAATTAATCTAAGAGTTGAGTATAAAATGTGTTTGTGTAACTTATCCTAAGTTACATGAAGAGTCACATTAAAGACTCATAAAACTCATAAAGTTGGCAAAGGTTACAAAAGATGAAGAGTCTTGTCCTTAAGTTATGGAGGTTCAAGAGTCACTTCATTAATAAATAAATAAATAAAATATGTAACCTTAATTAATTCCATAAGTTATAAAATAAAGAAAAGTTAATTCTTTATTAGTTTAAAGTCTTCCATAATTTGTCCACAAGTTATGGAACTTGAAGAGTTTTTGGATTAAAACTACTTTAAACACATAAGTTATGGAATTAATTAGTTTTGAATAGTTTCAAAACTTGCCCTCAAGTTTTGGAATTTGTAAAGTTTTCTCTTATGAATACTTTAATTCCAAGTTAGCCCTTAGAATTTTAAAAGTTAAAATTCAACCCTTATACTTTATAATATTATAAGTTAATAATATTTATATGTATAAGAGTAAAGTCGGTCTTACCGCTAGTACGCCTCATTCACGAAGCCGGTCTATAAGGTGGGTATAAGGTTGTTGCCTATAAAATGGCAACTTAATGGGTGTCCACTCTCACCCACCGCTTGCTTGACTGGTGGAGGGTCGTTAGCCGAACGGGTTTGACATGACTATAATTCTCCCTTCATTAAAAGTATTAATGATAAATACTAAGTAACTAAACTCTTAATAATTCCCAATCTTAGTTACTTAGGAAAATGTGAATAAGGTGCTAATCCATGAAATTACACTTTGCACTTTGTTTAAGTCGGTTAGTGGAGCGTGTGTGGTTAACCGGCACACTAACTCGTATTTAACAAGGTAGGCAAAGGGTAACTTAATGTTTATCATAGTATCGATGGAGCGTGTGTGGTTAACCGGCACATCGATTGAGGGGTAAACACTTAAGGGTACCAAGTAATTTGCATGGTTACTTCACACCTTGTTTTGTGATCCTCGGCATCCCAGTCACAAAACCTGAAGGGCACACTCGAGATTGAAACATGCCATTGAACAGTTCAATGAATCTCAAAAGATCTAGGAGTTTCAAAACCAATTAAAACCTAATAATACATTTCGTTTATCTTGGTGGAAATTGGTGAATCGTCATTCACCTACCTTCAAATTGTTTTATAGCTTGGATTACGGCATACCTCTTCTAAGTTATAAAATAGTTTGTTGGGTCCTAGCCTTAATATTTCATATTGGGTGTCATATTAAGGACTTTAAGATCAACTATCTTGAATATCTCCCAAAACATGTCTGGTTTAGACATTTATGATCTTCCCAAATCTCTTGAAACAAGCTTTCCTAAATGAAGATGATGTCCCATGGAAATCATACTTCTTTCACCTCCTCCAATTATTCTCCCTAACCCACAAGTTCTTGAAAAGTTTAAGGTCACTCAAGCCCTATTGGCAAGGCAAGGTCTAGGTGTGATCACATCTTGGAGATGTAGTCACATATTGACAAGCCGGGAGAGTTGGGTGTCAAAGTCTTGAGAAAGTTGGTGGTTCAATCACTTTCTAAGTCACATAGTGAGTTCTTTGGGACACCTATGAAATAGACTATGACAAGACCCTTAATGATCTTATCTATTTGCTAAGATCAACTTCCTGAAACTTTATGGACATTGACAATGGTGACACTGGAAATACAGAAAAAGCATTCTCTTCCCAATGGAAAGGGATCGGCCATAGTCAACTCGGTTGAACAAATGGTAAAGAGAAAAGCTAAGTCTGTGATAGTCCCGTGTACCATTATCAAAGGGTCCATATGTTTATATTGCCAAAGAAGGGTCATTAGTTGCGAAGCTGCCAAATTTACCTAAGGATGTTAAAGTCAATAAG